CAGTGCCAACTCCTTCAGCCGCTCTTCATGAATCATGAGGACACTGTTCTTCCCCTGAAATTCCAGGGGTTCTTTTCTTCTCCAAAACCACTTTCAAGGACACATAGCACAAACGTTACAAGCGGAAACAGGATTTTTTCTTGTCTGGCTCAAATCTCTTTCAGAGCAGGTGCTCACCAGCAGGAACACGGTGGGCACGTGGGACCAGGAGCAGGCCAATGCAATCTGCGCTTTAGCTTGGAAAAACATCACTTGACGCCTGGCAAAGGACAGAGAGAGCCACAGAAGGTCGGAAATCCCCTGCGTGGAGTGGAGAGTGGGAGGCGTGACTATTATGGTTAATACAATCTTAACCTTTGCCAGAAAGAGGAAAGCAGGTCATGATGGATGCACAAAGGCGGCACTCCCGGGAACAAACAGAAAAGTTTTAAGAATGTGGGTTTTCTCTCTTTCTTTTGGTCATGAATTTTTTTCACCTGAATTTTTATCTGGGCATCCAAAAATTACTTCAAAAATCGCTACGCCTAGCTGATAATGATTTTTTTCTCTTATGTTTTGAAATTCTTTGTTTCACCCTTGGGAAGAAAGGACTATCACCAATGTGCTGTATCACTTAGGATGAAAAACTCAAAGAACATGGCAGCAGAATTTGGAGCGGTAGTGCAGACACCTCCTGCCTCCAAAGGCAAAAGGGGGCACACTGTTGGTGAGCTGTAACGCCAGTTTGGATCATCAGCCTTTAAATGTAATAGATATCGTTGATAATCAACAATAGAAACCAACAAACATGTGGCAAAAGCCAACATTATAGTAACAATTTACAATAAACAATGGATAAACAGGTGGGCATTGTGCCAGGGGTGTGTGGGGACATCTGCCAGAGGGACAGGGTGCACAGGGGGAATGTCAATACCAAGGTGACAGTTGGGTTTAGGGGAACATTGGTTTTGGGGACGGGGCTTAAGAGAGTATATTTTATATTGGATACAGACCGTGTCACCATACGCTTAATGGAAATTACAACACAGACAACAACAAGTGACTTTACTGGTGTTAAACTTTATTTTTATTCAATAAAAACTCCTTACTTGATGGGTTTTCAAGTCTTTGGTTACTGTTGTACCTCTTATCACAGCTCTTAAAGGTCTAGGTATTAGAAATAATCCTAAGACATTTCATTAGCAGCAAACCTTGCAGAATTCAAAGATGACAGCAAATCTTGATTAAAAAAAAAAATTAAGTATGTATACACAACCCATACTTTTTTTGCCACTAAAACTAAAATACAGCGTACTCCCTATTTGTTTCCCGCTTCTACGGACTGTACATCTTTTTACCAAGTAGAGCTGCATCAAGGAGGTGAGCATCTGATGGCCTTCAAAGCATGAAAACTTTCTGAGCCCATGAGTTGATCTGCAATAGACAGTTTGATTGTAGAGCTGGCAGATTTGTGATACACACTGTGTTAAATAAATGCCGATTAAAACAAAATAATCACATCACAATGTTACAATTGGAAAGGTGCTTGCTTCTGTGCAATTGCATTTCCTGGTGATGGCAGACCCTGCATGACAGTGCCCTATGACTTTCTGGAGTATTTTCGAATCAGCAATTCAAGCAGTGAAGCAGCAGCACGTTTCCACACGTCCCAGCTGTAAGAATATCAATACTATGACTGATTTCTGTGTTACTCAGTCAGAAAGTGGCACTGCCTGTCTTGAGAGAGGTGTAGAATTTATACCAAACCTTTCTCGAGACAGGTACAAAGGTTTTCCAAGTCCTGGGAATTGGAGAACTACTGAAAGGCAACAGCACATCTACCAGACTGCTGGCGATGGATCCCTGGGGGGGTTGGGAGGGTGGTGTCAATCTGGGACCATCTACCCCCGACAGACAGGGTTACCACAGCCTCTCTTTGCCCGTCTCCCCCGAGGATGGGGGTGTCTTTCTTTGCCCAGCCCCTCTCCCCTCGGGCCCCTGGGAGAAGGAGGGAGGGGGCTGCCCTGAGCCCTCTCCCCTCAGCCCCCCGCAGGGTGTCTCCGGCCCCTCTCCCCGTCGGGAGAGCCCTTCCCCTCCCCGCGGGACCCCGCAGCAGCCGCCCCCCGCCCTCCCCCTCCCCAGCCCGTCTTTGCTCACGAGGTAGTGGCGCTCATTGAGAGAGTTTTAAAGGAGGCTTGAAGGGAGAGGGGGGCAGTATCAGGCTGTCCTGTGACAAGCAGTGGGATGACACGTGAAGGTGAGAAGGACGGGGTGCCAGCGAGGGCCCGCAGGCTGTTTCTGTGAGACTGAAAGGGTAGGAATGAATCCACGTGGGTGGATTTACTCTTCCTCAAACACAGGATATTTTCCGTGACTTTCTGGCACACCGTGAAAGAGCAGTGGAAAGAGAAAAA